TTTTTTTTGGTATGATTAGTTTTCACGGTGGATTCTGACAGCGGAGCATTCGGACCCTCCCAGCCGCCAAAAGCGTTAGGCGCTCCGACGCTATTGGATTTTGACAGCAGTCTCTTTTCTTTCTCAGTCGTCCATTCCATTATCTGCAGGAAAATCGGTCGCTTTTGCCCTGTGGGTTTTGGCTGGCGCTTTCTCCTGAACAATATATATATATATATATTTTTGTGTCTTCTCTTCCCTGATTCGGTCGATGAATTGATTAGATCGATGATCTCGGCTAAGAAATTTATTTTTTCTCTTTCTTGTGCTTTTTAAACATCTGCCCCTGAGTATGGGCCGATATTGATATGGGGTGGAACTATCAATTATTGTGGTTTTTTTAGTCTATCATATTTTCTTCACTCGCCTGTTCTGGAGCGTACCCGGAAGGTTATGATTCTGTTCGTTCGATACACACCCGGTTAATCATGGAGGGAAGGGGGGGGGGAAGGGGACTCTCTGGCCAGTGGATAAATAGAAAGTGTGGAATGTCAATCATCTGGACAAAGTAGGAATAGAGATCGAATTGAACCAGCGTCCCTTACGAGGCGGACCGGTGCCGTAGGACGGATAGGATACGGCTGGGGAAGATCCAAATGCAAGGATGCGAGATTGTCCACCAATACATTTTGTATGGGTAGATTAATGGTAGCATTAGAATTATGTTGCTCGAGGTGGACTGGGCATGTGTCATTTCATTGCATATCCCCTGGCTATAGTCTTCTGATATAGTCTTCTGATGTATACCGAATGGGAAAAAGAAAAAAAGAAAAAAAAGAAAAAGATATCGAAAAATTAAATATAACCCTACGCCGGATTGAGACAGGAATGTTTCTTAAAATCAATAGTAACTAGTACTATAGAGTCAAGTGTATCTAGTGATTCATGTATATCTGGTCTTGGTTGGATACAGGGAAAGTGGCTAACCCATCATGTACGTGGATTGATCGGACATCGAGAAGAAAATAGAAAAAGGATCGTGAGAATACAATATAGTCTATTTAGTATTTACAAAATAATCACCATCAATCAACATTGATTGGAAAAGGTGGATAACCAGAGTCCAGACCGGCATCACGTGCGGCGATCCAAGTTTAGAAGACGCTTCTGGTCTGTTGCCAAACTCAAAAAGAGCTCCTCCTCCAGCAAGAAGACTTCGGATTTCCCTTTCCATTCCCTTCTTTCTTTTCTTTTTTGGATTTACCGGCCCGGGGTGATTTTTTATTTTTATTTATTTATTTATTTTTATATTTTTTATTTTTCTCGCTCTCTCTATATCTCTCTTCGTTCATTCATTATCCTTGTTGTTGTGGTGGTGGTTCTTGTTCACTTAACACTATTGCGTGTGTTTGTTCCCCTTCGGCCTCTTGCACCCTCTCGTGCCCTAATCTTCCTATTCAGGAGAGGATCAGTTCTTGCCCCCAAAGCAACTCAAAGCTTCCCCGCTCTGATTTTAGTCCCCATCATCTTCTCTCATTGCATTGCTGGCCTAACGACGAACGAATCTCCGTCACGACCTTTTCAACTCCCTCTTTCCCCGTCTTTTGTTCTTCTCTTCCTTTCTGGCTCTTTTTTTTTTTCTTTTTGTGTTTTTTTCTTTCTTGTGCATATAAGTTGGGGGTTTCTTTTTTGTTTGGTCTCCGGTATTCGAGGATTGGTTTCGGTCCTTTGACAAACTGCTCGGCGCTATCTCGATATCTTCCTCCCCAGCCGCCCGTAACCGCCATTCGTCCCGTCCATGTGGCACGCTCTCTTGGCTGAGACTTCTTCAGCTGCCTATTTGATCTTGGTCTCGATTGCGACCGTGAATCATCGATCTCAAGACTCATTATCCCACTGCTGAATATATTGTCGTCGTCTTCTTCTCCAACCCCCCCCCCACCCTCCGTCTTCGTCTCTGCCTCCCCACCGGGCCGACGTCCCCTCCGACCCCTTCGTTGTGTCGTGTCGGTCCTTTCCTCGAGCAACCACTCGCCTTCACCATGTCTCTCCACACGTCCTACCACGCCGACTCCGATGCAGACGACGAGTACGAGCGCAGTGTCATCACTTCCCCCCACCTGGCCACCGATTCTGAGGCGTCTCCCTCTGAATCCGACTTCCCCTCTTCCGAGCAGACCCCGACCACGTTTGCAAATGCCGACGAACACCCCAAATCCCCCAGAACCATCATCACCGAATGGACAGCCGAGGAATGTGCACACTTTCTTGCCGCCCTCGGTCTCCGTCAATATTGTCAATCTTTCCTCGGTGAGTTCGACTCCCTGGAAAGAGGAATGGGGGAAGAACCGTCCACTGATGTCTGGCAGAAAACGAGATCGTGGGGGAAGCGCTTATTGCTCTGAAACATGATGAGTTGAAGGAAATGGGGATCGCTAGCGTGGGGCATCGATTAACGATTCTCAAGAGTGTCTATGAAACGAAGGTGAAACAAGATATACCGTTGGATGCAGACCATTATATTCCTCTTTGTATGTCCACTCCCTTGTGGGAAGTCGTGTTGGACGGCTACCAGTTCCGCTTTGCTAATCATCATTTGTATCGACAGCGGCGGACCAAAGTATGAATGAAACTGCGTCACAGGAAGATGTCGCACGGCTGATCCAATCCATTCGGTTGCGAGATGAACGAATCGTCACCGTCGAGTCCGAGCTGCGTCGCATGGCGGAGGACTATCGTCGGTTGAGAGAAGAGCTTCTGCCGGTTTTCAAGATGGCCAAGGACCGTTCGCAGCCGTTGCCCCCTCCCACGTCCATGGCCAGTTCGGGCCCAGACGGATACCACGATAGTCAGCAGACGCTGGTGTCGCCTTCCGGCATCACTCTCCTGGAGCGCTCAGCTACCCTTTCTCGACAAATCTCCAAAAGACTTCACACAGGGGGCACCACCCCCAAGAACAATTCCCCCACTCATATCCCACCCTCAATTCATGAAGGCCGTATGTATCACGACAATGGCGTGTTAGACCCCTCATCGGCACTCTACACGAATGGAAAGTCGCAGCTGTCCCCGGGGATCCCGTCTCCCACCTCTCCAGGTGTCCACTATACCGCCGCGCAGACTTTGGGGTCTCGATCATATCAGCCCACCCCCAACACTAGCCGCAGTCCCTACGACCACCACGACGACGCCTCGGCAACGCAAACCCGTGAACGTTTGAATCCTACCCCAACACAACCAAATCGTCCCGACATCCCGACCCGATCAGATTCCAGAGCCGGTAATGGCAATGACCCACCAAGCGTGGAAATATTCAAGTCGTTCCGTGTCTCCATGGAGGATCCCTGCTATAAGGTTCTTCCTGCTGCCTTGAAGAAGTACAACATCAATGCCGACTGGAAGCAATATGCACTGTATATTGTGTATGGCGACCAGGAACGTTGTTTGGGCTTGGATGAGAAGCCGCTCATTCTCTTCAAGCAGCTGGAAAAGGAGGGACGGAAACCGATGTTCATGTTGCGAAAACAACTCCAACACCCCGTGGAAAACAGCTATCCGCCAGTCAATCCTGTGCCTACCAGTGCTGGGTTTGAAAGCAGGCAAGCACAGATCAATTTACCCGGCGGAGTGCTATGATCAGTCTGGTATGAGTCTTGTGGGACATATCTCCCCGCTGCAGCGTCAGCTCTGAACAAGATTCGTGACATTACTATATGTTGCTTGAGATACCCCCTTTCCAAGCGATCACGTTTTCACACTTTACCTTCTTCTTCTCATCTTTCGGTACCTTAATTGCTCCTTTGGCCTGAAATCTTTAGTTCATAGGGTGTTTGGTGTTTGTGTCGGTGTTTGGGCAATTGAGGATCGGAAAAAGCAAAAGACTTGAGCGTGGTAATCTGGTTCTACTTTACTCTTGTGTTTGGGTCCTATATTCATCTTCACTTCTTTCACACTTCTTTTCTCTGGATAAATTTTAACTCTATCTCTTCCATTCACATATTCACCTCATGTCACCTGTGGCTTTCTATTAGCGTTTTTGATCTCTTCTTTCTTCACCTCTTTGGATCCTTGTGATCAATCTTCTTGTTTCACGAACAAACAAGGTGCATGCATGGACTTCTTGATGTATTATCATACTCTACCATATTATATCCTATCATATATGAAACAATACTATATTTGACCGGGAACATGGTCGGAATCCACTTCTGTTGAAGGAAACAGCGGAGTTCTTCTACATATATATGTCGATATTTATATTCCTTCTCTATGAAGATGACTATGATATGATTATCTATACGCGATGGCATACTATCTAGAAAATGCTATACGAAACCGAGTCAAGAAACAGCGTCAAATGAGCCAGTGTCCAAGCTGTATATACCCGGGGTTAAAAATAGAGCCGCAGCCGCCCTTGTGTGACAAGTGACAATAATCAAAGAAGATCACGAAAATAAAACGATATAATTGGATATCGGCCAAACAAATAATTACACTTGGGAACAAATGAAACCAGAAAGAAAATACTAGTAGAATAATTAAGTTACACTGAATTAGAAAGCTCTATACACAACATGAGAAGACATGCATAACACATGCAACAGGCGCTCAAGAATGCAGAAAGAAATATAAAAAAAGGGGACGGCTGATCAGCCACCCAGACGACGATATGATAAACCCTGGAATCTAACTTGTGGTTGTTCTCAGACCGCAGGGTTTTTGCTTTGCTTCTGCTTCTGTCTCTTGTCTCGTTTCTAATTTGGCTTTCTTGTCACACCGCAATTTTCCGCTTCCCACCGCCCTCTTCTCAATTTCTTTTATGTTATTTTTTTTTTTTGCTTTTCTTGCCTTGAAAGAATCATTAGCCCTATGCATGGCTCGTGTTTGAATTTCTTTTTTCTTTTCATTTTTTTGTGGGGGTGTGAGCTGTTCAGATTTCTTTAAGCCTCCCGGCCTTTCTCTCCTCCCCATGAGATTGAGCGCTGATGCGCGGAGCTCGAGGAACTCGAACCGTTCCCTTGGTTGGAGTTACTTCCAGTTCCACTATCGGAGGCCTTCGTCCCTTCTACGAACTGGACTTTGCTGCCGACACGACGGAACCCCGTGTTGTCCTCGCTATCAGATTCCACCACGGCATCCGATTCATCGGAATCGTCCGAGTTGAGTTCACCAAGAGCGGCGAGACGACGACGGCGTTCTGCAGGTGTCTCTCCCGCATCGTCGTCATCTTGCTGAGGTGGACGCGACAGACCAGCTGCTTCTCGAAGTTGAGCCGGAGGCACACGCTCAGTGCCGTCATCTTCAGAGTCTCTGCGTGAGCGAGGACCAGTGGAAGGGTCGAGAGTACTGCGACGCTCCTCTGCAGCCGTGCCACGGGTGAACCGGGCCAATGAAGCAGCAATGTTGTCACCAGGCACCCCTATATCAGACCCGTTGCTTGACTCGCTGCTCGAAACAGATGCAGGTCGGGCAGGTGTTGCTTTTTGATGTTGTGTGTCTCGGGCAGAATCGCCAGCAAGAGACTCCTGGCGCTCCACACCCCGAGCTTCGTCCCGGGCGACCTCCTTAACACGTTGGGGTGCATCTGTCTCTTCCACCAGATCGCGACGCGCTCTGGGACCAAGATTACGGAGTTGCTGGACGAATTCATGCTTGTTCATTCTGCGACCCTTGTGGCTAACGCCCTTCTTACCAATGCTGTCATCGTCGGCCACGGTGAATCGAAGACCGTCGTCCGCTAGCCAGTCATCATCCGCTGTCTTCTTCTCTGCCTGCGACGGCTCTCCTTCACCGTCCATGCCGAACCAGGTTCCCATGCGGGTCAATCCACGCCGGACAGGCGCTCCTGTCTCTGGTTTATCGGTTGAAGGAATAGAGTACTTCTTGATCACCTCTCCATCCTCGTCCTCGACGATGATGGTGTTACCGAACTGATATGCATGAGCTGAGCGAGACTTGCCCTTAGGTTTCTTGTCAGCAGTGGCAGCCGCAGCCTGCTGCTTTGTCTCCGGAGGCTCCTCGACTTCTTGGTCGTCCGCCTCTTGGGCGCGACCCTTTCCGAGTCCAATCCACTGGCCAAACCGCTTGCGAACCTTTTCAAGAGGGTGGCCGGTCTTCTCTTCTATAGCTTCTTTGACTTCCTCCCCCTCTGACCTTGCGTGTGGCTGGCTCCGGGACTTGGCAAACTCTCCCGACTTCTCTTGCAGCAGCCTGTCACGCTGTGCTTCGATGTGTCGCTGTTGCTCCTCGGGTGATATATGACTAACATCTTCTGTCTTCAGAACATTTCCTTCTTCATCTTCAATGATCATATGATGGCCTTCCAGGTAAGCCTCCACAATTGGCTCTCGCCCGAACTGATCTCGTTCCTTGGACGGTGGCGAGCTTTCCCGTTCAATTTTGTCGCGCACCTCTTCCTCCTCTGCGTCTTCACTTTCCACAGGCCGTTGAGGAGCAATCGCTGACTGACTGATAGGGCCGCCCGCTCCAGAAGCATGTCGACGGCGTCTGCGGGGTCTCCGACTTGACGTCCTACCGGTAGGTGACTCCGTATCTTCGTCCCGGACCCGACGCAGGAAATTTCCAGGAACACCGATGGGGGGAAGAGTACCAGGGGGATACTCCTGTTCATTCGAAGATGCATCTGTATCATCCGGTTTCCGGAAGGACATGGAGCCTTTGGCTATAGATTGCACACGAGGCAAACGATTCATCCAGGATGGACCCTCATCATTTGCGGTGGTGTAAGACAGAGTGATGGTCAGAGTGTTGATGCGCTTTCCGAGCGTGAACACCGCAATCGACGAACCATGGACTAAGATGGACGAGATGACCATGAAAGTTGTGATGGGCCAGATGAGTTGGACGATGTAATAATCGGCCATACCCGCTTTCGGTAGCTCCGCCTCCGTTAGGGGCTGCGTGCTGTCCGTTTCTAATTCAGCTCGAGCCAAGATGGCGGCGAAGATGGCACCGACACCAATGGGCCCGAAATGACCGGCGAAGAGGGCCTCACGCCAAGTTTTCACATCCGGTATGATTGGTTTTAGGATTAACATGATGGGAATTCGGCGGAAAAAGATGACCAAGATGGCAATCACAACAAGCCTCCATGGGACAAGACCGAGCTCTGGTGCATTGTACATTTCCCAGGGGATAATGGATCCAAAGTACACGAAGTATGCCAAGTTCAGTAGAAGGTCAATAACGTTGGATACGTGAGACTCTTCGGTTTTCTCCGTGAACCACCCATCATTACTGAAGCCAACACCTGCCGCGAAACCTATCAAAAGGTCGTCCATACCCAACAAGCTACCAGAGCCGGCGCAAAAGACCGCCAGCACGAAGTAGAAGACGAGAAAGCTTTCACGGTCAATCAGCTGTTTGCGTTCGGCAAATTTGATCGCATGACGGGCGAAATAACCAATGAGGAAACCGTAGACGGCGCCAAAGATACACTCGTATAAGATTGTGACACAGAACCAGTTAAGAGACACTTTGCCCGCGTCTGGGCGGTAACGTAAAATGTAGAAGGATAGGTAGATGAACGGAAAAGCCATACCGTCGTTGCAGCCAGACTCAGCTGACAACAGGTCTCGCAAATGCTTAGGCACACGCTTGGCGAATTTACCTTTACCAACGACCGAAGACGCCAGCACGGGATCTGTGGCTGTCACACAAGCGGCGCACACAAGACTCTCTAGCCAGCTGAGGGGAGGAACCATCCACCAGATGAACAAGCTGGTAATAAGCCAGCCCCAAGTCATGACCGGCACGAGCAGTAAGAAGACGGACTTCCAATGACGGTTCATGTATGATTTAGGCAATTCGACACCGACGGCAAAACATTGTACGACCAAAACGATACGAGAGCACTCAAGAGTGATCTTATCAATATTTCCCCATTCGTGGGGATTGAAGAGATTAGCCGCGTGTGGCCCGAAGATGATCCCGCAAAGAGTAGCGACTGTTGCTTCACCAATGTACAGCTTCTCCTTCACGAAGAGAGAGCAAAGCATGAACAGGCCGGTGAAACCGCCCAGGATCATGTAAGCCAGATGCGGCTTATCAATATCCAAATGATCCCACGCCATGATGTTGGAAGGTGTCCGGGGACCGCGACAGCGACCGTCGTCTGTGTGTGCTTCCGCGACCCTTGGCTGTCTTCGTGGCTTCCCCGGTGTTCCTTTTTAATTACTATGTAAAAAGGAACTATCGCAAAGGTTCTCCGACTGATCGGACCGCGAGGTATTCAGTCAATAGAAATGCGCCTCGTGAGATGGTGAATCCGACGCTCTCGGCATAACTCGGGGAGGGGTGTTAAGTCCGAAACGATGACGGATGAGGCGGGCGAAAGCAGGGCGGACACTTTTTTCTCCCAACGTGCCTTCCCTTGCTGCGTCCTGTAAGGGTAAAAATGCTTAATTGAGCGAATCTATGCGATTGGCAGAAAAACACAGAACTGGGGAATATAAGATCGAACAGGAAAATAGAAGATTAAGAGGGAAAAAAAAGGGGCGGAGATAGGTAGGAACCAGAGTTGATTCGAGTGCCAAGTGTAGGGAAGAAAGAAAACGTTTGATTGGAGAGGGCAGAGACTTACCAGATTGGGTAACTGCTATTCCGGCTGAACAGAACTAGTAGTATGTGTATGGGATATACACTCCAAATGGGGTGTACCAACCAGGAGATGCCTTCTGGAGGGAACAAAAAGGGAGCAGAATAGAAGGAACAGATACCGAGAGAAAAGAAACGGGACAAGAAAAGACAAGAAAGAGACAAGCGAAGGACAAGCGAAGACAAGAAATGACCAGAGGCAGGACAAGACTCTGGGCACTCCAGAGAAACGAGGAAGAGAAAATTCAAGAAACAAAGACCAAGACTGAGACCCAGGCCAAGACCATCATCCTGGCGCTTGATTTGATCTGGAGGAGGAGGTAGTGTCTTCGGTATGTAATACTGCGCTCAGTTCTGGAAAGCGTGGGCAGATCCTCTGCTCTGGGGCGGCGAAGATTGCAGGGCAGAAAGCAAATCAGATCCGCGGCTGAGAGGAGATACTGGCGGGGATTGGCAAGTCACGGGCCCACCGGCTCATTCGCGGAGCGAACAATTTTTGGTCTTGGCGGGCGGACACACTCCACCAGGCTGGAAAGATTACCGGTATTATACCCACAATACCACTAGCACCGTGCCCGATCGCAGCTGGTGAATTACGTATGTTTTCCCCAACTGTAAGTTCTTATCTCCTGTACCTGACTGAGAACGGCAGGATTCCCGACTATATACGGAGTAGGAACTACCACGACCCCCGGTACAATCCATGGATACCTCAGGTATAAGTTATTATCAGGAAGTACTAGTAGTACGTGTTACAGGTCCCAGAATTTGGTCAACGAAGGAAAATTGACACTAGTGTCGAGAATCGAGACCTATCTACTGCATAGCTCTGCAGCTCCTCGTCATTCTCTTCCTCCCTCAACTCACTCCAGAGCCGACCACATGGCGCTCACCGTGACAAGATCTGTGAGGTCCCACGCTAAGCATATTTACAGTACTGTGCCACCTGCAGGAAGGTCGGTTCTTCGATCTCGAGACATTTATGTGCAGAATGCCCATTCATGGATCTTTCTTTTTTCGTAATCTCACGATATCCGCCCCCATCCATGGGCGACTGAGCGTCTTATCCTTCCCGGCTCAAATTAATCCTAATAAATTGGGGACCTAGGATGATGGAAGCTCCCGTGCCCAGCCTTGCAAGGCTGCCAAGGGCATATCCTAATGTCTGGATTGGTTGGCACGAAAAAAGAACCGACTCCGCAGTGGAGACGCCAGTCACACTCTCACCCGCCGACAACTCGTGTTGGCCTGCTATGGCCGGAAGAGATTTGCCGAGGAGTCACACGCTATGCATCGTGCATGCCTCTATGAACTCTGGCTTGGAGTACATTAATCCCACTCAACGGTGTTGTGGGATCTGTCAGATTCTATTCTACCCAGTGCAGTCAATCTTAATGATGTATCGGGTCATGTTTCTCACTCCCAACAAACAGCCCAACCACGTTCCAAATTAAAGATATCAATCCTGATGGTCCCGAAGGACCTCGAAGAGACTTCAAACAAGAACAACGCAGTAAGCGAGACAAGATACATCGCAAAAAGACCGCTTCAGAAACATCAGGCTAAAAGCATCCCGTACTCTTCCCCGCACAATCGTCGGCGACGGCGGCACAGGGAAAAATAAACTTATACACATACTAGACACGACACTACAAAAAAGTCAAAAATGTCTAGACCGGCCTCCTGCATTGGTACAAACATATCCTTCTCAGTCACCCAAGGGCATGCCTTCGACCTGGTCACTCAATGACCGCCAATTATCTGCCTGCAGCTCGGCATACTTGACCCGCTCCTGACTCCAGTCCTGGTGAAGTCGGCTAATATGGTACTGGCTCTGCTGAAAATATGCTATTTCATCGCGAATGCATTCTTTGATGAAAACACCGCGCGCATGTTGTTGTACAATCGACTCTTTGTCCTGTAGGTCCAACAAACACGACGTCAGTAGATGATGGTAAAATAAGGCGTGGAAGACCTGCGTACCTTGATGATTGCATCCTCGACCTTCTCAATCTCTCCGGGCTTGACGGTACCTTGAGGTCGGCTTCTCAAATCTTGTAGCTTCCGCTCGTTGCTCTCGATGCGCCGCTCCAGTTGGGGAATATTGTTCCGCGCGTAACGGTCTCGGCGGTCGAACATTTCCCGCACACTGACTAGACAGTCTCGCTGGCGCTTCAGGTCCTCCAACACGCCCTCTTCCCAGGCACGTGCTTCATCCTCCAATAAGCTTTGACTAGTTGAGAGATGATTGGCAGTAGCTTTGATACCCTCATTAAGTAAAGGAACGTCGTTGGTATCAATCGCGTACGTGTCTCGAGTCACCTCCGTGAGGGATTGAAGGGCAAGCGAGAACCGCAGGTGATCAGCCGCAAGGCCTTCATTGCGCTTGGCCAGACGCTCAAGTAATGTGCACAGGTTGATATAAATTTCTGCAGACCTCTTGACGCCGCCCCTGACGGTCTCGAATGTGTCCGGAAGTGTAGAAGGTAAGGAGTCTTCCAGATCAGGGGGAAGGGCTCGGCCAGTAAATTCATCTTGCACCGAAATCGTGGCTTGCTTCCGCCACACGGACAGTTCCTAGTATCGGGCCACTATTAGTCGTACACTGTAACCCTCCTTTGACGCTTTAATTACACTTACAGTAGGAACAGTCAGGAACATGATCACGAGTTGCTCCTGGCTAAGGACCGGGTGTCGAACAAGGGAATTGGTAAATCGAACGAGTCCACGGCGACGCTTTTCGAGAAATGCATTGGAATCCGCTGCAAGGTGAGTGCCATTGACTTAGATTTGCGGAAAAAGGTGAGTAAGCTTGTTTTAGGAAGCTTTTGCTTTGACATACCTGAAAGTCTCTTTGGTGGAAGAAGAGGAAGCTGTCGGAACGGATACCTTTTTTGGAGACAGTCCAACAGCCAGACGAAATCACTGTATCGCCGTACCACTGTGCTCCCTCTACGAGCGGACTTGACCTCGTAATTGCGATGCTGGAACATGAACACCCCTTCCTTCTCCGGGAGTAGCGTTACTGCCACGAGTTCTTCTACCGGCGGGCTTGCTACCCTACCTATCCCCAGTGACCGCGACGGGGATTCGGGTCGCTATGATCACTACTAGGAGGGCCAAAGCTTCCAAGGCCAGCCGGGGCTGTTCCTCCAAGCCCACCATCACTCGGTGTATTGCCAAAACTTCCCCCCCACCCAAATCCTGAGCCGTGGGATGGCCCAGTATCTGTTTGGCCATTCTCGCGGTTTCTGTTCGAGATTTCATTGGGGTTGTTGTCCTCACCAACTCTACTAGACCAAGCATTAGTAGCGGACCGAACACTACCATAGCCATTCAACACTGGATGGTCGGATTCGAGTTGTGCGTGGGCATGTCCGCGATGCAACTCTGGACTACCCCAAGGGTCGGACTCCAAACCTGCCATCGATTCTCGTCGTGATCGCCGTGAGTGAGCTGAGTTGGGTGCTTGCTGGGGTGACGCAGGGAGAGGTGGAGTAATCGGCCGCTCCTGCGACGGCGCAGGGGTGCCGGATTCTTGCTTTGCGCGCAACGCATCAAGGTATAAGCTTCTCGGCGCGGGGAGCTCTGCAGTTAAATTAGGTTAGAATATAAGTAATACACGAGAGTTGAATATATCTTTACTCTGGCGCCTATCATCAACCGCATCCAATGTAAGATCTTCCCCTTCTTGCGCAAGGCCCACGAGTGCCAGAAGAACGTTGAACTCGCCACGTCCTAACCCATTTGCACTATCGATATCACCAGAAACAACAATATTGAAAATTTTTCCTTGGTCAGAGGCACTTATCCCGCTGCCGGACAGAATTTCCCTGACTGAAGTCAGTCCAATACCGGCACCAACGCGATCGCCAGTACTGAGGATCAGGTCGTAGGCATCGATATAACTCTCGGGGGCATCCGAATCCGATAGCAAGGTTTTCACGAGCTTATGCCTAGCCGTTCTCTTGTTGGTATTGCTATTCCACGGCGAGCCAGAGCCCAGGTCGTCATCGTCGGCGAAGAGGGAGGAAGAGCCCAGGTTGGCATTGCTACCAGTACCAAGAGAGGGTTCGTCGGCGAAGAGCGAAGACTTGGACCTATGTGCCGAATTACCTGCCGAGGAGTCCTCGGGTGATGTGCCGAACAAGGACATGGAGGGAAGGAGCTTTTATGAGGGGAAGCGCCGGCGAAAAGAGGAGGCGTTGATCCAACGGTATCCCGTTATGCAGCGGAGTTCAGTCGGAGGCGGGAGAGATAAGGTGGGTGATGATGTGATGGGACCAAACAACAGCTAGCCTACACTAGTAACAACCCCAATACCGAGGTCCGATTGCGCAGTTGAGCAGGGATAGCAATTAAATCTGATAATAGAAACACATTAGATCGAGAAAAAGACCGGCTTTTCCTTGAATGGCACTTTCTGGAGCAAGAGCCATGAGATGAAGCTGCAGCAGTCAGTTCTTGGAAGTGAGGAGAGGCGGAGAAGCTGTTTGTTTGGCGGATGGTCCACTGATGGCACTAAGCAACTTTGGGCCACCACCTGTCCACGGCACTCTCCAGGATTAGGGTAGTTTATTTGTTTGCTATTGTTCCGTGATTAGTGTATTTTTATTTTTATTATTGTTGTTTTTCTTTCGTGTTTTATTTCCCTCTCAAAAACTGCCAGGTTCTATTAAATCATATATCCAGTGCTTGATAAATACTGTACATTTCTCATATCGTAAGTTCTGTAATGGACCGATTCCATTGGGTATCTATACATCAAACTCCACCCTCGCTGGAACTCTCTCCTGCTGCATGGTCATTGCATTCTCTGCCAGGTTCCGCATATGAAACCACGAAATGGCCATTCTGTACTAATAGATCCTGCCAATCTTGCCCACCTGTGGCGAGAATAAGCGTGGGATTGGCATCAGGAGGAAACCATCGTTCCTTTCGTGTTTCGGCTTTGCTGCCACCTTCAAGTGCCGCGCGACTCGCCCTTGTTGTTCGCGCCCTCTTCGAACCGTGTCCATTCTGGGAGAGTAATCCGCTGAGTTGCATCCGATACTGCTCGAGACGAAGATCAAAGGCGATAATCGCACGCACGTACGGGCCGAGGTCTTCACTAATAGGCCGTAATCCATTTTCGAACGATGGACTTAGCCGTCCTGTTGGGAGAGGGAATATATATTTTGCTCTCATGACTGGCTCAAAGGCTCTAGTTAATTCTGCCTGCTGGGAATTCGTGAACCTGGGTTTGGTAACGTTTTTCAGTACTTTATTCGCTTGTAATGATTCGACGTTGGGTTCGCGACATGGTCGAAAAACTCTGCCTAACAAAACCCCGAATGTACTTGCGATACTCCTAGACAATGACGAGTAATCGGGCACGACATCGGCAAGTAATAAGGGATAACCGTCAATATAGTTGGCTTTTTGCTTCTCCGGCAGTGGAGGTATAGAAGTATCGAGAGTATCCTCCTAGAAGTCAACATGGGTGCAAGGTAAGTGGCTTATGACAGAGACTTACCAATCTAAGATCAAGTGAGCAATCAAGGCTTAGGACGTCGAGGGCACTTCTCATATCCATGAGGTTGGACTGATACTGCAGTCTATCAAGCCGTTCTTTGTTTGACGCGGCCGGTGTAACATGCGCCACATCCATGTCTGACATTCTTTCCGCATCTTGTAGACTGAGATCCCACCAAGAAAAGGCTTCTTGTTGCGATTCGACCTCACTGTCTAATCCTTTACCCAACAGCATGTCACGGCTGAACCAGCCCATGAACGGTTCGTACGAGTTCACGCTGATCACCCGGAGCGGATAGCCGTCCTGATCCATATCGGAACCTCGGGGCCATCTGTCAATCATCCAATCCAGACCAGATTTTTCACTACCAATAGCCATTTGACACCAGAAGTTCAGTTCTGTGATTGTTCGACGTAGATCCCCGCCAGTGCTTAGGAAAAGGTCGTTGATAGCCTCGCGTTTCAGCATGTGGCCCTCATTCGCAGCTAGCAGAAGACAATAATCAACGACAAGGTGCTGCGGTGGGACCCTGTATCTGAGAATGGCATGAAAAGATATATCCCCAAGTGGGATTCGACTCTCATCATTACAAGTTATAATGATTGGACGTTTTGATTGATTGATTAGCGCCAATACACCCGACCAAAACTGCTTGTCTTCCTCAAAGAGAAGGTCCGCTTCCTCCAGAAGGATGAAAGATTGTTTCTGACTCCGGGAACGTTTCTGGTCTGTTTGTTTTACCGAGTTTTGTCTTTGAGCCTTTTGCTCCTTGCTAGCACCGGCAGACGTGGTCTTGAAGAAGCCCATCAGTTTGTTCTGTTTGGGATCGAAGGTCTCATCTTTCGGGGAATCAATATCGGAGGCTTCGCGGCTAGGTTTCTCGTCGTTACCATTCATGTTATGTACGAGGTGATTGCGAGTCATATCACCAACGCGTTCCACAATGTCCTTGGCACTGCGGCGGTTGCCCGGATTAATCTCGAACACCTCAAAATCAAGCTCCTTTGCGGCCGCATAAATGGATGCAGTCTTTCCAGATCCAGAAGGGCCACTTAGAAGTATTGCATTGGACACACGTCCCTTTTCTAAAGTCAGATCACCAGACCGAATAAGCGTTCTCTTCGACGAGACTGTTACACCACCCGCTAACTCATCTTCCTCTGATTCGTCTACCTCACCCATTTCAGATGCCTCATCTGCACTGGAAATGATAAATCCATCCAGATTCTCCGTTTTCTTGCGCTTCTTCCGTTTCTTTTTGTCCAAGCTTCGTTTGGCCTCTCCATCTTTGGAGACTTTACCGGTGTCAACAGCAGACACCATAAGAAATCTCAGCCAATCTCGTAGCATGGAAGCTTCCCTGGTTGTCTGGAGCACTTGCCCAGCTGAGGTCGGGGCATACTTTTGTGTCCAGAGATAGCTGTCACACTCCCCACGGTCAAAAGCAGTCATCGAATTCGGTATAGATGTGTATAGTTTTGCAATAGCAGGATGGCATGTGTCACTAAGAGTGTAGCTCTCTGGGTTAGACAAGGTAGACCGGGATAATTGTTCGGCTATTGCTTTTTGTAGGATATTTCCGCTAGCGACATGCCTCTCAGGTATCCGTAAGATTTTGGCAGGCTCCTGACACAATCCTTGCATCTCCGGCGAGAGTATGCTCTCTTTGTCTTGAATGCTAATAGCAGCCATCTTGGACTTCCTCCGATCCATATTCGAAACATACTGGAGATTAGGTTGTCCTGCTTGGTTTCCACGGACATGGATAAAATCTCGTGAAGGCCATACCGGTTGCATTGGTTCTGGAAACTTAGAAGCTCGCTGTGTAAAGGGGGTGCATATGGTTGTCTTGATGACACCTAAGCTTGGTGTTGGAGGTTTATGAGGTGGTAATGGGGCCATAGTGACTCCTTCCTCCTCCTTGTCCACCGTTGTAGAGTCTTGGTTGTTAATCTGAGATTGCAATGATTCCGATTTGCGCGTCGCCTTCTTTAAAAAGAATGGATGAGTAGGTTTCGCCGGTTCGTCTTTAGCTGCAGGACAAATAGGTGGTTGTTGTTTAACTGGAGGGGTGTGTTTCGCCCGGCCACTAATGATGTCGTCAATGCGTTTCCCCAAGCTCTCTGCAGCGTCATTTGTGTTGGAATATTTGATGATCACGACTTTATGCTTGTTGCCCCCTTCTTTTTGAGAACCTGATTTGCCGCGCCCCTTATCCTTCTTCCTTGTGGACTTGTCCGACTTATCCGTGACAGGCGAGCTTAGAAGCTTTCCGTTAGGGTTCAGTTTGATAGTTTTCTGTCTTGGGGACCTCCTAGGTGTCGCCTTATTCAGCGCAAAGTCATCCTTTGAAAGAGAATTATCGTGAGGAGCCGCGACTTCGGGTAAAGGAGTTGAAGGGGGAGCGCTAGCTTCAGCTTCGGTCACATCAGGGCCATCATCTTCAGCGGGCGTAGGTATACCATCAACCGAAGTGCTTTCACCGTTGGAAGTTGACGGGGGCTCTTTAGCCGTGATGTAGTTGGCTATGGAACCATCCAAGTGACTGGCATCGTTGGGCTTATCAGTCTTGCGTCTTTTTCTGCGGGATGCATTGGGATCATGTTCGAGCATCACGACGGGTCTGTGTTCCGGGGAAGGTAATTTATAGAATATGGGATAGGGTGAAATATATTCGCTTGTTGATTGCTTATTTAGGGACAATGGGCTGCCATTGTGAAGGAGGTCATGTGAAGGGAGTAAACCGTCTCCGGGGATGCTCTGAGGGATGGTGTTGGCTGGTATTCCCAAGTCTATTCTGTATGAGTATATTGAAATATAGTAATGGGGGAGGGAATTGACCTCTTCGAAAAAAAGGGTGGATTGCTCGTTGCCCTTCCTGTCCCATTGCCATAGATCACGGTGACGTGTTAATTCGATGAGCTGACGCTCATCGCCCGATAACGGTCAGATTGAACAACAAATTGTACATGCAGGGTAAATATAAAAAGCAAGCTAGAAAAGATTGTAGTAGGGACTTGAGTAAATCAAAGGTATATGGGGGCCAGTGTGCAACAGTTGAGACTGAGATAGGCATAATTAAAGCACGAGATTGAATGCACCAAAAGAACGCGAAGAAGCGCGTATTCCCGCGCGGTCAGTCTCTCCGCCTGTACGTCATTTACTGTACCTTAAGTGTAACGGAGGCATATTGTAATTTAAAGCTAGCCTTTTTAGGCCTAGCATCGGAACCGCGGAATAACATAGGACCGGAAATTTTTCAGGATGCATCAAAATGAATTTCTTTGAGGCTACACTTGCTCAGCATTTCAGCGGCAACGGTCGCGCACGTTAAAAATTGATATCTGCTGTCATGGATCTGCAGCCGCCATCGGTCTTGGCCCAATTGCCTCGCCCCTTGCACGCATCCAAGGGCAAAACCCATACCGGCGAAGTCTATAGTCTCTCAGACTCTAAAAAGCGCAAAAGATATGAAGTTGCTGTCGCAGTCGATGGAGAGGCTGTGAACATCTACAATGTAGGCTTGACCGGCTTGCTGCGTCTTGTGTAATCCATACTAAGCGCTTTGATATTAGATACAAACTCCGAAGCTGGTAACCTCCTACGCTGTCCCTCCGCAATCCTCGTTCTCGTGTGAGCCATGCTCGGTGCGCAGAAAGCTTTCGGACAAATCGGTTGTGAAGAGACAGACCTATGTTGCGGTTAATCCTCAGAAAGAGATCAAGTGCTTTGTGGAAGAAAGCGGTGGAAACGGGTCGAGCGCGCCTGTCATCTCTTCCTCATCTTTCTCCGTGAAAGACTCCAGTAGTCCAACAGTTTTCATCGGTATCGTCCCGACAGGGTCTAGCGAGGAGGACAAGAGCCCATACGATATTTTGACGGTTCACCAAGACGGCCGTGTCCGGAGACTAGCAGCGGACCTGGACAACCAGCACTGGAGTCTCCAGCATAGTGAGCTCGCAAAGATTTCTTCGTCTCATACTGTTCAAGCATGCTTCCTCGTTGAGTTCGAAGACGCCAAAAAGGCCCTGTTCAAGAGAAGACAGGACCTTGCGGCTTTGGCTTTAGGGGATCTGGTGGACTCTAACGTGGATGAACCTTCAGTGCTGTTGCTCGTTTCGCATCCAACTGGTTCCAAAGAGATCAAACTGAGTGACGTCAAGGTCCATATGTTCTCCGTACCTGCTAAGATTCCTTCTCAGGGCAGGAGTCTTGACGAGAGTCAGAAATTGAAGCATCTCCTGACTTTCAACATCCCAGATATCAAGGGACAAGAGTTCTTTGAAAGCAGCGGCTTGGAATGGGATTTCCATACCGGATCGGCCGGGCTGAATCTGTCCTTCGCCAAGGGATTTGTCAACTTCGATCTTTCTCAGTACAAGCCCACAGTGACTTCGCAGTTTATCCTCGAAAACGAAAATTTTTCTTCCTTGATGCGCATATCTCCCCAGTCCGTCATTGGTGCAGGGAATTCGATCGTCGCATTGTTCGATACCCAATACAAATCCATCCAGCGCAGCATCGCCACTGACGACATTCACGGAAGTAACAACCCCAAGGCACGGACAACGTTCATTAGTTACTATTCAAAGCTGGGAATGGCTGTAGCGACCAAAGGAAACACCCTATTTGCGTTCGACCTGAGCTCGTCCAATTCACTTTCGGGTTCTTCACTGAAGCGGTCGAGAGACAGTCTTCTGATTGACGCTATTGGACGCGGTATTGGATCATCCGCCTCTCAGTGGGATGTGGCATCAAAGAAGCCACGGACCGACCAATTTACGTCGTTGGGTCTCACCTCAGAGGAGCAGGTCAGTCGGTGGAACAAACTGGTCACTGACCTGCGCGCGGCCTCGAAGTCGCAAAACGGCGACGCCTTCGACAGTGCAGTGCAGACGTACTTCGAAGCTAGTAACTCCGATGCTCTGCCAAAACAGTACGTCAATCCAGAGGTCATTCTGTTCCTGCTCTCTTGCATCTTCTCCTTGAAGGATGCCGTGAACAAGGACCAATTGTCCGTCTCTTCGTCGTCACGGCTGTCCATTGACGTCTGGCCGGAGCACACATGCCAATGGCTCACTCAACTGGGCCAGCTGTCTCTCGACAATGTCGAGATTGCCCTACGCCGATCACTCAAGCCCCGTATCCTGCCCGCATTGCCAACTGGATCATTCGTGCAAGCTCTCATGGATGCGGACCCCACCCTCAAGCGCCTCATCGACATCCTCCAAGGTCCTGTCACACTCAGCTCTGACGAATTAGCCTACACGCTCAAATTCTTCCTCAACATGGCGCGCTCCCGTTCCGCAACCCTCGAAGAGACAGCCCTCGCCATAACCGCCGGCGAAGAGAACAACACCGAGGCCATCCAGAACCCCGAAGCCACACTCCAGGACATCTTCCGCGGGCTAAACACCACCCTCCAAAAGATCCACATCCACCCCCTCCCAACGATCACCACCTCCATCTGCTCCACCCTCTCCAGAACCGAGATCATCGCCATGGTCCACCATCTCCGCCTCTCTCTCGCAACAGGCGGGTACGCATCCCGCTTCACCGAAAACCCCCCCACCCCGATCTGCCCCGACCAAACCACCCCCTCCCTCACCCTCAACACAATCACAGACCTCCTCAACGTCTCCGTCGACGCCGTAGGCCCATCCGGCTGGATCTCCGCCACCGCCTTCGACGACACCCCAACTCGCGAGATGGACCTGATCGCAGACATGAAATCCGAAATCTCCGCCGCCCTCGCCGGCGTCGAAGAAGCCTCCTACCTGAAAGGCGTCCTCGGCGAATACCTCCGGTACACAGATAGCGTTGCCAAATCCGCCAAATCTGCCGCGACCCGGAAACCCAAGGCCCGCGACGAACAGCGTCCTCGCTGGTGCGCTTCGAGAAACTCAACGGCGCAGACGTGATGGTCTTCCGCTCCGCGGAGGAAGAAGGCTTCGAAGGCGACGCAAGCGGTAAGATGCTCCCGTTGTCGCTGAAGGCTGCTTCGACGGACGTCAGCAAGACGAAGGTGAAGAAGTCCACGGGTGAGGTTCAAACGAGGAGTAATCGGGAGATTGGATATTTGCGTCGCAAGGCTGTTGGGAAATACTCATTTGAGAGACTCATTGTATAGATATCATATCATACATATTGTTTTATCGTTGCACCACCATTTCAAAAAGTAAATATGAAAGAAAGTCTGGTTGAGTTGGCTGTTTAATGTAGATGGATAATCTAGGTTATGCTTGGTACTGATTGTCACGATTATGATCTTATTCGACGGTCTTGGTTTCACTCATGCTGACTAGCCACTCGAGGACAACATTTGTAGTATATTTTTGTACATTCAGTTCTCTGTCTTGATTCTTCACATAGTAATGCAGAATACCTATCGGTTTATAGAAGAATAACTCACGCCCCCGATACGTCTATCCAAAGGTTCCTTGGACCACAGTGGCGTCTGACTTAGCATAGCACCTGGTACCAGTTTGAAACGGTGGCAACTCAACTTAATACTGATATACACTTTGGCTTTGCTCTGTTCAGGTACGTATTAAGCGTTCTCTCTTTTGAAGAGAATGGCGTTATAGAGATGAGTGGTTTCCCATTGATGATTGTCGTTGCATATAGCCCGGTGTACTATGTATAGGATAGAGGTCCTATTATCTTGGTTGCATGGGCTTAGGGCTTACCGATGCTTACTGGCGTTCCACGATTATTCATGAGAAGATAGGTTGGGTTGGTCTGGAAGTGACGGGGAGGATTTGATACCATGAGGTGATATCTGATAGTAGTTAGGAGGGTACTTGGTTATGGCTGCTAGTAGTCTACTCAACAGGCAGTATGCCTATAATTACCCATTTCAATATAGCGTCGTGCGCTTGTGCGGGAGAAGTCAAGGTGTAGCTGTATGTCACTCGCATTGGCCACTTAAATATCAGAACGCACTTGTTTCAATATGTACATCATGTATGTATGGCTATATATGCACAAGGATGGGATAGATCAAGGCATTCGCCAGCATACTTTAGGTTTCTTTTTTCATGCTGTGAAATCACCTCATCAAAAATAGCCTGGGTATCGTGAACATCTCAGTCCTTCACTTCTCACATGGGTGGCCCTGGTGGTTTCAATCATTCGTGGAACATGGTGCAAAATACATGGAAATAGCATTTCAATCGTCACAGCCGGGCAGAAACGCAGTAAAAATGGAAAAAAAAAAAATAACACAAGATAAACCGCACGTTGCGTGACACAGGAAACAGTCGTCCATGGCAGACACCAGGAAGAGCCAGCGTTGTCACACAGTAAGGATAACTGGGATGATATCGAGTCGTACAAAACCGGTGTACAACCCGACTGACCGGTTAGAGTCATGTAACTTCACCTCGCATGATATGCTCGGATATCACTTCACATATTGTCGTAACAGCATGTATGGAATGCACTCATAGGGGGGGAAACATGATTAAAAAGGAAAGGGAAGAAGAGACGTAGCGCCCACTCGAACAAGAACAAAACTCCACAAAATCAACCATCGTAGAACACCGGTCGAGTATGCGTCATAAGGAACATGCATGGTAAGAGCCCGGATAGAAAACCGCAAATCGAACTCAAAAAGCTAGGGTAACAGAATCAACTCATATGAATGCTAGATGATCACATGAGATTTTGTCTAAGCAGCACGAAACCACCAGCTCCCGAATCAAGACAACTTCGTCTTACTGCGCTGAAACGGAGACGAGGGAAATAAAGTAAGCGAACAAGGCCACGTAACCCGATACAAGGTTGTGAAACCTCAGCAGCAGGTAAATAGAACAGAGAGCAGAAGAACGATGGGCCACTCAAGCCGGTTGATTTAATCCGTTCTCATGGCCGAATTTTCAGCACGCTCCTTCAGTCGCATAGCTTGCGCTTCGAGAGATCGAGCCATGAGCTTTGTGACTGGCCGACAGTTAGTTTGGTCTGAGCCACGCGAGTCGTAAGGGGAAAAATTGAACTCACCTGGCCAGACAGCAGCCCTGTCCAAAAGGCTTGCCGTGGCAATCAGAATCTTACAACCATATCCACCTTCCACAACGCTAGGTAGCCGTTGTAAGACACTTAGGGTAGACACAGTCGCACTGGTTTGTACCTCCGCTTGCATTTTGGTTTCAATACTGGCGAGTATCTCCTTGATCTTCTCTAAGAGCTTACAATCCTCCTCTTCCAGCAACATGACATTCGAAGCTTGGACCAGGTCAATTTCGTCACGCCCTAGCAGCCCCAAGTAGGGGCCCACTCGCTCCTGCACAGTTGTAATCCACTCGGCAAGGACTTGCGCACAGTCAAAAGTACACATCGCGCATTGAATGGGCAAGTCTCGGCATGTAAATTCTGCGAAAGTATTCCCGAGCCGGTCTGACATAGAGATTGAGTCTGCTGCATAGAAAGCGGCTTTCCGTAAATGCCTCTCGCGCTTTGACTGGCCCGGACGGTGTACGCCCATGAGAGTCGCCTGCATTGGATGCTCTTGCGTAGGAGTCTTGGATATTGCAAGGTCCGCTACCCCGAGGTCTGCCACTGAATCGCGACGGTTGTCCATTTGAAAGACGCTTTCCGTGATCGATGGATCTAACACATCCGAAGGAATATCTTCCACGTGATTGACGATGTCAGTCCCTCGCGCGAGTTCATCCGACATCGCATTCCAATCCCGTTGCCAAAAAGCTTCTTTGCAGCGACCTAGATTAACGAACAGCCGAACATAAGCCAGGTCTAGTAATGGGATACTATCTGCCGAAAGAGGGCCTGCGCCAAACGGATTCGGCCGCTCCAAACTGTGGATAGGGTTGCTCGCCCAAGCAGCCTGCCACGCCCGTAAAGCTGGCTCAATGTGTGCTTGCATGGCATCGGTTTCCCGGGCAGTCCACTGTCGGCCCATGTGTCGCTGACGAGTCTCCCAAATGTAGTTATGCAGAGCGTAGATCAGCACGAGGCAACCAAACGTGCTGGGCTTGAGATCATTGTTTGACGGGTCTTCTGACGTAGTATTATTGCTGGTGGGGGTCTGCGATTGACTTTGCTCCCGTTGACTGGCGGTCAAAAGCGTCGTCAGAGCGGAAGGGAAAGACATGCCTTTCTGGAATGCAAGGTGTCCGCCCTTCTTTCTCCACTCCTGAGGCGACTCTGCTGCCCAGAGGGCTTCCTCACATGGAAGATCCAGGCGAATCTCAGAATTAGTCAAAGCAGGAGCATGATTATAAGCGGACACCAGGAAGCAGGAGAGGGTGAAGATGGCGTAAAGAGTGCGCTTCCGTTCCTCGACTATTTTCCAATCCAACCAGTCCTTTCGTTCCTTCGGTGGGCCCATGGAGGAGGCCCAGGCCTCAGAGTCAGGACTGGCGCCTGGAGAGCCATCTCTATCACCGAGACCGGCGTTAAGATAATCCTGAGGTAGATCCTTCGAATCTAGATGATGCGTTAATTCTGCGGCTCGAGCAAGGCTGACTAATGCTGCACAGTGCGTACTCGCGATGTCGGCCGAGGTTTTGTCACCACAGGTATGACCGTAAATGACGTTCAAAAGCATCGCCTGCACCAACCAAAGAGGAGTGTTGTGGACCGAGTTGTCTCGGACAGAATTGGCCCGACCAAAAGCGGCGGACATGTCTGCTTTTCGACGTTCTTCTAGATAAAGCTGGATCATCTTTTTAGCGGCTTCGAAGAGGTCTTTGGAAGCCGCGGTGTCGTATTCGTAAAGCGCGCCGATGGCTGCCATGGAGAGGATCAAACAGCCGCCGCCGCCGGCAACACCAGTAGAACTTAGATTAAGATGGCCGCTAGGGGTTCGTAAATTATTCGTGTACTCAGGGGCTTGAAAGTCGAGGGTCGGGATATGGAGAAAGGGCATGTGCGGGTGAAAATAGGTGATATAAGCTGAGATATAACGTTGCATATCGGGAGTGCTGGGCAAGGGACCGGAACTGTTGAAGCTGGAAGGGCGCGAGAAGAGGTCACGACAGTGAAGCATGCCGCTGGCTGGCTGAGAGTATTTGCGGTGGTTGAAACCGGTGGGCTGGGCCATGCTGGCTAGTAGAGCCTGTCGGGTGGAGTCTGTAAAGGTATCGGTTGAACTTGAGGAATGGTGAGTTCGTAGGGCACTATTCGCGAAAGGTAGGTTGAAAGGATTAGGAGAGTCTCCGTTGGTTGCCATAGAGGATGATAACATACTCTGGGAATGTCCCCCTACCATGGGCTGGCCCACCGAGGTCATGGAGGGAGGGGTGGCATAACTTTCAGCAAACGGATTTTGCGCCATCAGAGACTTGGGCGAAACAGTTTCCGGGGGAATTCCTAGATCATTAAAAGTGGGAGATGTGTAGTCAATGAACTGATTGGAAGACGGTCCGGTGTGGGGTGGAAACGGGTTGTGCCAGCTCGCTGACGACACGGAGTAGCGGTGCCCTCCGTCCATCATGGCTTCACTGATGCCACTCTGGCTCCCGGTACTCATCGCCGAGGGTGATGATTCGTCAATTACTGACTCGTTACCTTTCCCCATCTGCATGGATGGATCGAATCCGTTCATCCAATCAAAGCTGAATTCATCCTCCATCATAGGATCGGTGGATGGCATCTGATGGGCACCCTGGGTATACGGCGACGAAGGTGAATCGTTTCCGTACCCTTGGGGCGAACCGCCAAAGTGCAGTTGGGCCGGATTGATGGTGCTGTGACCCATGAACATATCTCCCAGGCTGACATCGAAGCTACCATACACCGGAGCCGTACGCAACCCGCCCGAAAGATCCATCGGTAGCCCATGGGTTTCCAACTTCGTCAGGCCATTCACCGGGGGATGGGCGGAGCTGAACCCGCGATAATCCAGATTGGACCCCACCGGTGCTGAGCCTAGACTAGGATGGTAGGCATGGCCGTGGGTGGGCGCCACTGGCGAGGGGTTGGTGACATTGGGCAGTCCCAGAGAGGTGCCATCAATATGACTAATAGTATTGGCTCTGGGGCGCATGGTGCTGGACGTGTTGACAATGGAGTTCTTGCGCACACGATTCGTCCCTGTCCCAGCGGCTCCCGTGCTTTCTCTCCGGCCATTTCTGGGTCGCGACGACGGAGTGGTGGTCATGTGTAGCTTTTGCTGATGTCTCAGGAGTAGATCACGACGAGCAAAACAGCGCGAACAGTCCGGGCACTCAAATGGCTTCTCTTTAGTATGCGAGCGCTCATGTCGTTTGAGATGCTCCAGCCGGGCAAATGAACGGCCGCATGTTGTACAAACATGAGGCCGAGGCTTATCAGTTTTGGGTGGCGGGATGTTGCTCTGCGTCGTCGTGGCCTGGCCGTTCGTTTCGGCCTTCTTTGTGTTTTCCTTGGTAGACGGCGCTGACGATGCCTGGTCAGGAACCGCAACAGATGTTTTCCATTACCACGGAAACAAGCACTCACCAGACATATCTCCGGGAACCTCGCTAATACTCGCTAGATCTTCGGTTTTGGGGCTGGTGGCCGGGTCCTGACCCACCATTGTGTCTAATAACATCCTTTTACTTTCCCTGTCAAGATCGCTCGTACAGACACCGGCTTGGCAAGTGGCGTTACCTGCAGCGTGAGCGAAAATGAAAATGAGGGGATTCTAGAAGGACGTCACTAGGGGTAGTCGGCGAAATCCTCTTGCTAGGTAGGGGCCTCAAAAGGTCACTGCGAACACCCTTTGTCCCTGGACATTGACTGCTTTCCGCTTTTTGGTTGAGTCAGTCACGTAATCGGTAAGAGTGACCTCTGCCAAAAGGAATGAATTACGAGGTGGGATTGTCAATGACACAGATTGCTCCCGTTGAGGCGACGGGGGTTATAAAGGGACTGGAGAATTATGGGCAAACCAACCAGCGCAACGAATCTGAAAAGCGACAACGGTGGAATTAAGCTTGTGAATCGATCAAGTGAGACCAGTGGTTGAAATGAAAGTGCGACAAATTCAAGCGAATTGCCCAGTCAAGTAGAAGAGAGGCAGCCGAGGGAGCAGATACCACGAGGTTAAAGTGGGCTGTGGCGAAGTGGTTCCTGGGGATTTGAGCGAGGTGTAATCAGTAGGGGTTAAGGTTTGGAGGCAAAGAACCACGGATACCAAACTCACAGAAATGGACGAGAGCAAAAATGACACGAAATGACTTCATTCACAGTCAGTTTGTTCCAGACCGTAATATGGCGTTGGCGTAAACTAAATGGAGCAATAGGAGTAACTGGTCCGACGTTGATGCGGGCAACGGTGTCTCGTCGAAACCGATCGGATGGGTACGCCGGAGATAGCCGAATCGATAGGGGACTTAGACTGCGAATCAATTGCTGATAAGCCAGCGGAAGCGTATGAGAAAGAGACGCGTTGGCGAGAAGAAGAGAAGGGAGGGGAATGAAGGGGAAGAGAGGATGGGTCGTGGGATAGTGGGGGAAGAGAAGCGGTTGAAGAAGGACGATCCAAAAGAAAGAGAGATGAATGGAAGTTGAATCAGAGGTGCCAGGAGGAAGAGCGAGAGAAGATGTAGTAGTAATAGTGGTGGTAGTGAATCCGTGTACTTACCTACTAGTTAGAGCTTAGTCGTCCGAGACTAGTCGCAATGGTTTCTGCTCGCTGAGTGGACTGAAAGGGAAAGCAGTGGGAATGGTCGCACGAGGCAGGTAATAAATGGAAAATGGGGGATAATCCCTCGTCAGCAGTTGCTCCAGAACTTTTTGGTTAATATGCAGACGATGATTGCTTGAAAGGTGACAGATGCTCGTAACTCTGCCACAGACTAGCCGCTGAACTAACTCCTTACCCCAGCGACTGTCGCGGGATAAACCACGAAACACACAGGCGCCCTGAGAAGGATTAGTCATGACACGCACCCAATCATGTCGGGTTAGGTGGGGCCACCGGCATTAGTGCACCGTCGGTTGCAGGGGAGCATGGGCCATGACAGGGCCAGAGCCAAGCGGCCTGCCCCACGCCCCGGTCACGGGGGAGTGGATGTGGTTGTTTGTTAGGTTCAATTGTCGTACTGTATCGTCATTTTCGGGACCCCGGGTATTATCTGTCATTTATTTTCATTTGATTTCTTCTTTTCTTTTTAAATTACTTTTTTCAATGATAGACCTCGAACGGACTAGTATTTCCCCTACTGTTGTGAATAATTAAAAGAAGCTTCAAACCATCAAATAGCTAAACAAAGAAGACAAAACAAGGTCACAGGATTACAATTAGAACCAATGGTAAAAGAATTCCAAGTACCTAGGTACTCAGCAAGGCATTGACCGGTGTTAGAAAAGGTAACGTGCTCATACGACTCATGGACAATGCCCACGCATTCCATCGGTACAGCCCACGGACATCGGTGCTATGACACGCTAGGGAAGACCCTCTCGGGTCTAAAAGTAGGTCCTACGTAGGCCATCTTGATCAGTACTAGGCTCCAGCAGATTATGGTCGGTAGACGCTTCTGATGATAGGGCGCAAAAGAAAAAAAAAATGAAAAGAAAAGTAAAGAAAAAAAGCATGAAATATGCATGCAGACAATGTACCTGGAGTCCCTCGTATTCATCCTTAATTAGTCCGACCGCCTTTCGCCGTTCTTTCCTAACCTGAGTGTATTATGGGAGTTTCCATACAGATGACCGCTCGCAATGGTTTGGTTGGCATGATGTTCCGGTTGAGCATCATTTCCCTGCTTAGGTCTCTCTGATTGACATTCATTCGGCCCCGGATATAATTAGGATCATGGGTACCGGATACCTTAATTACACCGGTAATACATCGAAGAAAACAAGGAAGCGACTGACGACTAAGCAATCCGATATGTCTGACTAACTAAAAGAATTTGAGCCTGCACCAAAGTAGGGGCTGAGAGACAAGAGATAAGAAAAGCTGAAACATTCCACTCTGGAACGTCCAATTTCGCGATAGTCATGGCTGGGGGACTATCAGTATCTCGGAACGTAATGGAGCACAGGGCCTGTATATCAGTGGGGACCTGCGGCAGTGACCAACCGGCGGAGCTGCTGCCTATTGCCTCAATGTTGATCGTGTCCGAGTCGTGGAATTAATTGTAATACATAGTAAAGTCAAATCAATCCAAAAAGGAAGTACCCTTTGTCCATGCCAATGTCACCATGATGCTGCTAATAGGGATTGAGGGAAGAGTGATGTACCATCGGAAATTGCTACATTCTCATGACCACAGATAGATCCATGGTACCTACCATTGTTAATCGCAGCTATCTCAAGATACAGTACATAATGTGATCTTGATAAGAGGATCAGGATAAGAAGGAAAAGAGGCAAGGCTGGTCAGGTGACAGGCACTACTGCCCATTCGGGCCAAGTCGAACTTTACCGTCGGCAATTCCACCAGGGGTGACGCTTCCCGGTGAGTGTTGGAGGAAGTCTCACAAAGGATCCAATGATGTCATCCTATAGCTGACTCAGCGGGCGGTATGGTAAGACGATGGTATTACAGGGTATGAGTATTGATGTCTCGGAAGGGAAAATGGACGTGGAATCCATCCAACCCCAGACCTCGTGACAGATCGGCAGACCATTGTGGCTTTCGAAAAATCAACAGTTTTATTTGTTGAGAGGCAAAACGGATAAAAATGTAAAGGGCGGAAAAAAAAAAAAAAGAGAGAGAGAAAGACATTCCAGAAGAAGTAAACTTGAAGACGGATCTAAATAAGTCAACCATTGTTCGACGGTTAACCCGGATCCAAGGCCATGGCTACCGATGGGGTGGCGGTTGGCGCCGCATCATTTGCCTCCTAAAACAGTCAAAAGCCGCACAAAGACCACTCTCATCCTTTAATATTACAATATGACTGGCTATGAATGGACTAAGACGACGACGGCTACGAATGAAAGCCGAACAGAGAAGTGAAAACCCATCCAAGGCAACGCCGCCTTCCGAGGCTATAGAGAGCAGCTCTGCGCCATTTTGTGGGGAGAGCAAATGAGAAGCTGCACCCTTCGTCGGGTGTGGGGGATTTTCCCCCATCTCAATCGTTCAGCCCTCTGTGCCAATCGCAACCCCCCCGATCCGTTGCAACTGGTGGATAACTTAATAAGAAGTCATCCACTTTTCTGAATGTCTCCGTTATTTTGTCTCTGTCGGTCTCCGAGTACTCTGAATCAGGGCCTCTTTTCATCACCCCATGCTCGTTCGCCAATTCAGGAGTGTTCCTCTCAATTGACCCGGATCCGCTGCGGGCACTATGAGAAATGAATTGGAGACTGGATCTCCATTCGGTGGAGATTGAACGAAATTGTGGGCTTCCTGTCAAAGATGCCTCCGGCCAGTTCTCTGGTATTGAAGACTTGGCGAAACCACGGACGAAAAAAGTCGGAACCAGAAAATGGTTACAATAGTACTCCATACTCCAGGCGGCCAGCCACGTCTCATTGGATATAGGACCCGGTGATGGCGCGGATCGTTCTTGGGCTTCCCCAACCATGCGTCCCCTGAGCACGGGAGCCAGTTCCCTAGGGAACGCTCGAATTTCTAGAAATTAGGACCTAGCCACCAAGCCATCCAGAATGGTCCGTGACGCTCCCATGTTGCATTGGCGCAATTTGACTTTCGCCTGTCTCCTGACGGCCTACCCTTGCTCACCTTCCTCCTTCAGGGCTACTCTTGTTTAAACTTTCTGGACTGGGCCTGGAGAACGTGGTGAGGACTCCGTATGGGGATTTATATGGGTCCGATACGACGGACAAAGGAGGCAATAAGCTGGTGGCGACCCTCCATGAAAAAGAATTAATGGAAATTCCATTGCACGGTCGAAAATGCCGCCGGTCAGGTCCCGGACTGCGCTTTGCCCTGTAGCATGATGGAGGGTGTTATTTTTATCAGCTCTATTGGACGAGCTAACTAGCTCTTCTGATTAAGCAACGAAGGTGTAGGAGCGTCAAAAGTTACTCGATAACTATAGCAAACTAACAAGCTTCCCTGTCCATCGAATACGACCTTATAACATCCACAGGCAACTCTAGCCACCGTGCAGATGTGTATCCATCCAGAGCCTTTCTCTTCCACGACTAACCTTTTAGCGGCCAGCCATCGGAGAACTGTGGGCAAAATACCCGGAATAGGTGAATAATGCACGAGGCCACGATGCCTAAAGTTAGCCGCCGCGCGGTCCAAGCGGCCAGTCGCATTGGCCCGCTTGATTGGCTGCTGCCCCACGCCCATGACGTTCAGGTTCGGCCTGAATGGCGAGGGTGGCATCCGGGAAGGTGCCTGACTATTCTAAGCATAAACATACTATATGGATCTGGTATCTCGATGAGTGTCAAGGTGCTCTCCCTGATACTATCGCCCGATAATTCAGATCCGTATTGACGATTTAACCACATATGATCCACTACAGTACGACACCGAACAAATCCGGGGAAGCTGGGGTCTGTGGCTTCATCGCACGGCCCTCGGACGTTGATACCTCAGGCCTGGTGTGAGGCCGAGCGCTACTCCATTGAGTTTAGCCACGGCCGAGTCAGGTGGTTCCTTATGCAGTAGT